GTAAAAACTTGCAGAATTCGTCAAAATATCATGAGTAACATTTCCGAATCCTAAACGGTACTTTTTTGAAGGTGGGATAGTCCCTTTAATGGATTGTTCCGCATATTTTTGTAGGCGTGTTTTCTGAGATTTCATATGATTTTTCAAATATACTTCTTTGGTCGAAAGTGAGGAATTATGAGGTCACGTAAATCTCAATATCTAAAAAAACTTTAACGGAATTTTTGAAATTTCTTAGATTATAATTAGTTCGCAACAATAACCTAAAATCTGGCGCGAGGAGACCCGCTGTCAGTATCTTTATATTGGCACATACTTACGAGCACCTATCGTTTTATATATGACTTTACCGCCTTGTCGTCACATCATCACCTTCAGGACAGAGTATTGACTACGTATGATCTCCGGTGACGCGGATATCTCCGACCCTGCAGCAGAGCAGGTCCGACGGGGTGCGCGGACCGCCGCTCAGCAGACGGCGCCGGACCGCCTCCAACCCGGACTCACTCTGTTTCTCCTGTCGAACCGTCGCACAGTGTGGCCAAACACCAGTTTAGCGCGAATTAAATCTCAGCGCTGCTCGGATCCGTTGAAAATGGTTCCCTGGTTTCAAAATTGACACTTAAACCTATGTGAGACCTTTTACGATGCATTATAAATGCTTGCTGACATATAATGGCATAGTTCCGCCTCTAAAAGTAAGGAGAACTAGCTTACGACGGGTGATGTGCTTACCAGGCCAGGGCTGTGAAGTCGATGGAGTTACTCCGACTCCGACTACGGCTTTCAAAAGTCAATTTCAACTCTGACTCCGGGCAAAACTGTCGCCTTATACGATCGACTCGGACTCTGACTCCGCAGCCATGGCAAGTCCACGCAGTCGATGGATTTTCGGTGACTCAGACTACGAGTCTTGGTCCGGATTCCAAAATCGATTCCGATTCCGACTCTGACTGCAGGGTCAGAACTGTCGACTCCGAGCGACTCCGACTCTGATTACGAAATCCTGGAATTTAACTGCAAATAAGAGGCATAAAATTGTGGGTCCCAGCAATGATGGGCATGTTAGGAGGAGGAATCGTTAACGAAATTCTCATCATTTCTCTGGTAAATTCTTATGATTGTCTAAAGTTTGCTTGAAAAAAAAATCAACATCTAATTATGTTTCTGTGTGAATGTTCCTGGTGAAGCACATGAATCGGTAGATGGTTGCTGAAATACACGCACCGATAGGACTGAACCTCAGCAATGGGAGTAAAAACAAAGACTTACACCATAAGCACCTTCATGTCATTAACCCTCGGCCGTATTGGTGTTTTGCTAGCCGCGAACGTAGGTCGGTTCAGGTCAGGTCAGGCCAACCAGTCCTGCCGGGTATTCATAATTAATAGGTGTCAACCACCAGTGACAGCTTCGTTGCATGTTACGAAGGCACCAAAAGTTCTTCCTAAATGTTCAAATGGTTACTAAATTCGAAATCAGCTCCAAAAACTAGCCTGGAAGCATGTAAAACTAAAAAAGGTGATCCGAGGTCATCAAAGGTCATTGAACTGACCTGACCTTCAAGTGATCTTGACACCGACCATAATGCATGGGACCAACATCATAATATCACATGTTTAGACGCTTGAAACCACGAAAAGACTGCAAACGCGCGGCTAATGCAAGCAAACATACGCCCAATCGCGCTTCCGGCCAAACATGGTCTCGAGAAATAGGTCACAGGTCAAAGTTCATTGGGGTCAGGGTCGTGAAATTTAAAGGGTAGGTGTAAAATTGATAAACTCTAGGGTACTGAAAGTTTCGTCGCGATCGGCCGCTTTTTACATGAGCTTTTTGCGAAAAACCGAGAGGGGTCCTTTCGACCCCCACCCTCACCCCCTATATGGGCGAGGGTTAAAAATTGTCAAGATTTATTCATTGGCGACCGTATTCTGCAATATAACAAGTCAGAAATACAGCGGTTGAGCCATCCGCGTAACGTTACGCAGCCGCCGCCGCGCCCACCCTGTAGCCGGACCTCACCGGGCGGGCCAACCATATACGTTCAAAGCTGAGCCAAAGGCCGGGGGGCAGGTTGGGGCAGGGTTTCTTGCATGGATCATGTCCAGAAAATTGTGGGGAATCTTCTCATGGAAGATTTGGCGTGGAGTTTTGTGGCCATTTTCTTATATCTCTACGTTTTTAAGATGGACAGTGTTTTCAGGGGATGTTTGAAAAGGTCATTTTCAAATGAGCATAACTCATCGGTTAGTCCAAGGATACCTATAGAATTCGGGTATACTATCAAATATAGGCTCAGTAGTCATATGCCACTCCAATTATTTCCAAACCTTTCCGACAATTACGCCAAAATGTGTTGTAAACATGACGCGGGTTTTCGACGATTTCAGCACAGCCGGGACCGGCATTGCGTATGTCCACTTTAGCTAGCTTTTTGGACACCGAAAGGAAGACATTGAACCAAAGTATTGTGATATTGACATACTTTGGACAATTTCCTATCGACTGATAGTTATAAAAAGTAAAAATTCCAAAATTCGTTTTTTGATTAAATTCGCGCTAATCTGGCGTTTGGCCACACTGTGCGTCGGGAGGCTACCCGCTCCCCGCGCCAGTTAAATATAAACGGCCGCTGTTTGTCTCGCCGCGGCCGCAGCGCCGCTTTAAGGGATGTACGACTTGAATGGCGCCGGTAAACAGAGTGGCGCGGAGACGAGGGTGGCGCAGATGGCACGACAAACAGCGCCGGGCCGCCGCGCTCCTGGTGACAGCGCGCAGCTGGCCGCGCTCGAGCAGCGCCCGCTCGCGGACCCTCGCGCGTACGCACAGTGCACACCGCACTGTTTTATGAGCAGAGTGCATCGCCTGTGCCTCAGGCAACATCCACTATCCAGTGCGCTCATGATGTGCATTGTGCAATGTGCATACCCTTCGAATGAACTCAATGCGTATGACGGATGGAAAACGGTTCATTTTAGAACCGTCTGTTTAATGGATATTCTAGTCGAAGCACACGAATGTCAACTTTGGCCTATTTCAGTGTTGCAGGTATAATTTTTAAGGTTCAACTGCTCGCAAGTTATTTTGTGCATATGAGGGTGTTTAAATTTCAAACAATTGTACCCAAAGAGTACAAATGGTCCATCTGAGAATCATGCCTAAACATTTTCTCGAGTTTTATGCTACCGCATTTTCGCGAAAGTCCGCCTAAACATCGCTGCCTTGGCACATGCGCCATTGAATACATATGACAAGGTGCACTTTGTCACATGTCTTAGCTTGTGTTAAAGGGACTATCCCACCTTCAAAAAAGTCCCGTTTAGGATTCGGAAATGTTACTCTTGATATTAAGACGAATTCTGCAAGTTTGTACACGTTTTCATCGTATACTTTTTGAGATATTGCGACTTTTATATTTCATCGTGACGTCATTTAGATCGGATCTGTGACGTTATGAAGGATTTACTTCATGTCAGTGTGGGGGAAATTTGGCAGCAAATATAGGTATTTGCTCTCAAATATGACTCGGCTCATACAATAACAAAAGTGTCTCTGATTGGCTTATTCGTAAATCAAGTGATACTTCACTTGAACAGGCGTTCAAAAGGCAAATGACGTCATCAGATTACCGTTAATGGTTAAGAGATTGGGCCTTGCGCAGGGCTCATTTTCAAATGAAGGGAACGAATTTCTTCAACACCACGAGGCCGCGGGGGTTGCAACCAAGATAGATAGTGGTTTCTGGACCTCGCCGCAAACTTGGCTATCTCAACTCAAACCTAATGTAAAGGTGGGATAGTCCCTTTAAAACATGTCAGGTCATTTTTGCGACCTCTCTATTCCATCGAAGTACTTGGGAGAAAGTGCAACTCCGCATATTCTGTACCTATACTGAAAATAATTTCGGAGCATTTAAGATCAATGGTCGGGAATAGCACCTGTGACACCTGTATTTTACTTTATCAAAAGTCACACTTTGGAGCACAGCTTTGCTGCTTAAGTTGATCACAGGTCATGTCCAAGTGTTTAGGTACATCGTTGGCTTTGGACCCCAGTTAGCGATGATTTGGTTGATTTTTTTTAAGTGGTCCCAACTTTCGTCATTGGGCTCGCGAGGAGGGCGGATTTGGTCGAGGATGATCACACAGAACGAGCTCGTAGGCCTCCAAGACAAGGTTCTGTACATAAGATGTCATGCAATGTTCAAGGTCAAGGTCAGGTGTTTTGTTCTGAAGTTTATTGTGACGTTTGTCATTTACGTCCTCGTATGTAGCCCGAAAATGTGTTGAAACAGGTGAGCTTAAAAACCAAAGCAGATGACAAAAGTCACTCTTGTAGCTGTAGTCACCCTTATAAGTTCATTTGAAATGAAAGGATGGCTTTGGCTGTATATACGCACTACATTTGTTCGGCTACTATATAGTGACAGTTTCTCGCAAATATCTATATAACATGTTTCATGTTAGCATTTACTAGTTAAATCCAATGCTCTTCATATGACTGTTGTTAAAACACATTTTTCATTAATTTTTACTCGGTTAAATGTTTTGTTTCAAATCTGAGGTAACAGTTACCTAATTTTGCATTCTGCCAGTAGCGGCGGAACACCTTCAACTAAGGGGGGGGGGGGGGGGGGGGGGCACTGCCGACTTTTGGTCCCATTCTTTCCATGCAACGCCCATGCCCCATAGCGCTAATGTTAAAATGCCAAAATCAAAGGGAGGCACGGTGCCCCGGTGCCCTCCCCGTTCCGCCGCCTATGCATTCTGCAAATCAGATTAATGAAAAGAGATTCTTTTTCGTTAATTTGTGGATGAAAATAAGTCCCTCCTCACAATAGGTTCTGGTAAATTTCCAACAAAAATTGAAGTATCGGGATAATTTCAATGTAATTTACTTATCTGAGTCCGTGTATGCCCTGACCTCACGAGGAGGGCGTGTATGTTCTGACCTGTGCCGTAGCGGCCGGCGGCGGCTGGCCGTCTGTCCGGACGCACCCCGACCAGACCACTGCCGCCGCCGCGGACGGCACGCCTCCTCTCGCAGATGTCATTAAAGTTGAAGCGGGCGGCGCGTTTTTCCCGGCTGGCCGTATCCGTGGCAGCCATCAGCAAATGGAGCCAATACTGGGTACAGGCCGCCGGCGCAATTGGGATTACTACTGCGTCGCAGCCGTTCCAGCCGCGCCGCGCTGGCGTCTGCCGGCCTTCCAGGAGTCCTACTTTGCTCCTGTCATTTCAAAGCCCACCTCGAACGAATGAAATCAATATTTTTAGCACTGAACGAAGTTCTTGTTAATGCACATCAGTCATCAGATTGGCTTCTTACTTCACTGATAATCCCTCACCGGGACAGATGAAGAAGGGAACGATATTCTGAGGCTTCGAGAAGAATATCCGAAAACTGCCGGCCGCGAATACCACTGCTTTGTGTTTAGTGAGGTTATTGTTATACGTATTACATAATTCCCTCAGTGTCTCATTTCGCTACTTTATCAAATATCTGACAGTTCAATCAAATATCCGACAGTAGTTGAAGTAGAACTCTGATATTGGGCCTAGTACTTGGAAGTAAAGAATGCATTTACGGTGATTTTGTTTGGCAGTTGACTTTGGGCCGCCAGCTTTTGCTAACTGCATAGTGCGTTGTAAACTTTTTCATGTGGTATTAAGTGCAACAAATGTTATCATCAGCAAGAAACTACAATTCGGCTTGACGTCGCATTGCGCTATTGTATGCACAATTGAACAGAATATTATGTTATGAGAGCTACTTTAATCTTCTATTCCAACGTGAACCGAATGTGCAATTGCACACTCTGGAACTGGAAATAGGCAACTGAAATGGACCTGTTGAACATTTTCGAGTTTCACTGGTGGCGGAAGACGCGCCTCGCTGGTGCCCAGTGGTGACACATGTGCTATTCAACCAAGTGAGTTCATTATTACGGCTACGTATACCAGTAATTGTGTCGGTATCCGATACTGGATACTGGAATAGTGTAACGGACTGATAAGGAGGCGTATCTCCTGTATTGCCGGCTGGAAAATTACACTATTTTTTCACTCCGCTCCCGGTGGGGCATTTTTTGCCCGTGTCGTGTACTGGGTAATCATAATGCTTCACCACCTCCTTCCTTCTTCCTATTTTGATAGAGTGCATATTGCCGTGGTGATTTGCTGTTTGACTGGTCGAACCTACATACGGGTACAAGCCCTCTATCAAGGTTTCTGGAAATCTTGCTAAAAATGCTTTTGGTGGTTTTGATAACGTTCTTTGCTGGTTGCGGCAAGGACACAGAAATCTCTAATTTTTTACTGGGCTGTGTTTTGTTTTCGAAAACAGATGAGAAATTTACTTTTCTATTGCCAATAATATTCGTTTAATATACTATACCTAGTCTTACCGATGGTTTACTGATGATTTGTGTCTATCTTTCGGTACATCGGGTATTTTCATTATCAAATTTTTTATCAACATTTGTCAAATCATTATTTTTTACAGATTGTTCTGCAATGTTTATCAAAGAGCATTTCAACTGGCACGAAGAGTGGCTGGAATTACTTTATTATGCAATACATATGCATGTAGTCAATTAGCTCGTACCATTTGTTAATCGTTTCAATCTTTAAACGGAGCTACAGGGACGTTTAAGTTATTTAAAGATAGCCATAATCCTTTCATATATAAATTTTAAGCGTATTCTTCGATCACACACAACTTTGCAATGGCTTAACGTAAGCAGCAAAGCTCTGATGCCAGGCAAGGTGACTTGCGAGACGCATTTTAAGTAAAAGTAAATAATTGATCATAATTAGCCGTTTTCACGACGGGCCATAGGCGCGGGAGCCGGGGGGGCAGTGGGGGCAGCTTGCCCCCCCAACTCTGGGGCCGTGGGGGCGGTGCCCCCACAGCTTTGAGACGGAATACCACACTTTTTTTTGCAAATGTTTTCTTTTTTGTTGAAAAAGCCGAGGGATGAAAAACAAGTGGCCTAAAACCGGTGAGAAAACTAGATTTGGGGGTACCCTAGGTTGATCTCTATTATGGTGTGCCCCCCCAGTCGGAAAGTAGTTCCCGCGCCCCTGCGACGGGCTATCCGGCGAATGCACCTAATTTGACTGAATTTGCACCAAAGCTCTTTTATTTACAACAAATATCTTTTTATTATGAATTTATTTAAGTGTTTTAATCGAACATAATGCCTGATAATCTGAAAAATCAGTCATATAAGCAATTAGTGCAACCCTAACTGATAGCTACTTAGAGGCTCAATGAACCTAATTTAACCAATTCTGCACCAAATATGCACCAAATGTGTACCAGGTAGTCGTCATGAAAACGGCTGTTAACAATTTGTTTTTATTGCATAAGCATAATTCATCTAAACATTCACCTTGATTGATAACTCAAACATAGTGTACAATGTACAATGCATACATCCTTGTTTTCATGTCAAGAAGAGTATCCCCGGTTACACATTTATGAGCAGCTGTGAAGCCCCGTTTGGGGGGGGGCGGACCCTGTGACAAACTCACCCCTGTCGATCAGCAGCTCGGGTCGGCGGCGCCGCCTGCCGTCATGGCGCACTCGCTCCCGCAGTCGAACAAAATCGGCCCGGCCGGCGGCAAAAAACGCTGCCGTCCAGTGTGGAGCGGCGCCGCCGCCGCCGCCTGAAGCCCCGCCCCCGTCGTCCGGTCGGCGGCCCGACACTCGCGGGCGCGCGCGGCCGCCGCTCGCCCCACCCTCGGAGCCGGCCGGCGGCCTCCCAACCGGCCTATTGATTGGTCCGGCCGCGCCGGCCGCTGCAAACACGGATAAAAATTCAATTTTACAGCGGCGCCGACGGTGAATTATTGAGCAGTGCGCATGCGCCGACGCCGGCCCGACCCGACGGCTATTGGAAATGTCGATTTCTCGGGCGGCCCGACGGCGCGGGACGGCCGACGCCCGGCCGACGAACCCTTTACAAAAACAACGCCGCTATTGAGCGCCCGGAGCGGCGCCGCGGCCCGGCCCGAGGCGCAGCCCGAGAGTGAACCGGCCGAGCGGCGCAGTTGACAGCTCCGAGACATGGCGGCCAGTGGCGCCGCAGGCCGCCGCTGGACGACGGCGCAGCTTCGCAGTCCGTGCACCGGATTTCGCTGGACGCCGGCTGCGCAACTGCCGCGTCAACTAAAGCATACATCAGTCTGGTTCAAACAATAGGTTTACGAAATTTGCAATCAATCCTGTTTTCAAACTTAAACTTAAGAAAGTTATTTTATGAACGCAGTTTTAATGTCAAAATTAAGTTGTTCAAATATATTCAAGATTTTGATTTTTTCCTATTTTTTTTTTGGTGCTATATAGTAGGACGTAATGGTGGACTGGATCAACTGAGGTCGACGGTGACCAAATGACGTCTTCGCTAATTTCTTGCCACAGAGTGCAGATAAAGCTTTAGAATGGTGTAATTTTTCGACTTGATTAGCCGCCGAGTCATATGTTTGCAATATGTACCGTGCTACTGAACATAAGCACTTAATAATTGTGAAATTTGCCAAACTAAGTGAATTTAGTAATATAATTTAACACGGTAACAAAGATCATCCGATGTTCATTGACGTGTTTAACCTGCCCGGAGCTTTACATTTGTCATGTTATCAGAACAAGGGCTATGAGCCCAAAACTATGGGCGGATTCTAGCGAAATTTTGAAGTTAGACCCGAAATCCGCATGCCTGATGGGACGTGTTTCCCAAGGTTTGTATTCACTAGTGGATGGTTATCACACAGGCAGACTTTCACACTTCGTTGGGGACATCAGTGCTTTTAGGTATATGTGTCTGCTGATATACGAACGCGACCCAAAGGGCCCGAGTACGTCAGCAATGCTCTTACAATCCTTCTTCGTTGATGGCATACCGTGCTGGCTTTATACTTTAATGATATCATAATTCTTAACCTTTGGTAAAGGCTCATTCTTATCCTATGATCGCCGTTTGGATTCTATTTAATATGTTCCCCAGAAATAAACGGTGCCTTACGGAGCACGTGCATGTAAACTGAAGCGGCTTGTCGTTTCTTTATTTCTATTTTGCTAAAAGATTGGCATTCAAGGATCATATCAAACATTATTCATTCAAATGACTTTCATTCATTGAATAAGGACATAATTGTGAGCTGAAATATAAGGCAGTCACGGCGTTCAGTTTGCTTTGAACAGCAATGAATGGCTGCATTTTATATTTTGTGCCCGGAGCTTTATTTGATCAGTGAAGTGGACCACACATAATTGATTTAACCCCTCGTTAAATACCCTTGCCAGGTTTTTCCGAATCCGCGGAAAAAAAGACAATAGAACAAAGGCTTTGGCACGTGTCTGAGAACACTGTGCACGCGCCAATAAATCAGGATTTATTGTGTAGAGAAAGGCATTAAATTGTCGCCTGATGTGTTCTATGGTAGTTATTATTTGAATTCAGTCGGCTTTGTGTTGGCGTTTTTCATCGATGGCAGGCGAAAGAACAGCGACGTCTGCGCCGACTCATGTGTCGCTAAAACGCCTCATGCATTTTAATATTTTCACCGTTGACAATGGCCCACAGTGTCCCGGGAGAGAGGGCATATGACGTGCTGCCAGGAGCGGCGACGTCAACTCAAACTGCGACAACCTGCCCAATGTCAAAGGAAGCGGCGACGTCGATGGGGCGATGGGTGCTTTTTTGATATTGTCATTCACGCCTTCTCCATGTAAACAGCTGTTTAACTTTTCGTGGAGCATTTACTACTGTGTAATGTGTATTAATTCGTAACTTAAAGTAGCAGATGCTTTTTTAGTCTGTGTTTTACAAGCTGTACAAATGTAGCAAAACTAACACAACATCACGTGTTTATTTGATGCCACAACGGACTCTTGAAACAAATGACTGGTAAATGAAGACAAACAATACAAAAATGGTTCCAAAATCAAAAACAGAGTCAGGGACATGTTACTGAACGCTGACATGTAGCATTTGTCGTAGATTCTCCGCACACCGAAAGGGAGCGAATCTCTCTCGTCTGGTCCATAGGCCTGTCTTCTCGGTGGAGTCGGGACTGCCCGGGCCTCAGGCTCTCCGGCTGTT